TTTCGAGTTCGACAAATCCACCGAGATATCTAGTCGGCGAAACTCGGCCATCTGTGTTGCCAACAGATTCCGCTCCCTGAGGCAAGCGTACCACAGAATGTGCAGGTCCTTGAAGCTCTTTCTCCGCAATTCAGATGCATGCCACGCGCGACCTAGGAGACAAAGATAACGCTGTCAGTACACGTGTGTGGATTGATTGGCCAAAAATCGCATACTGACCGCTGAAATCCTCCGTCTTATGAGAAGGCTCTAATGTGAGCAGTTTACCCTCTCTGTCTCTCCTAAAGAAGGCCCAGAGTCCATGATCTGGGTCGACCTGCACGTTCGTCTGAGGGCGGAGGGCTGTTCCGTCGTCCGGGGAAGATTGATGTGCTGAAACTTTAACGGAGGAGCCGCTGGTTGCATCTAAAGTGGCGACTGCGTTAGGCTCGGGGAGAAAAGTAGCCAGGGAGCGTACTCCAGGCCTCAACGATGGCTTTACGCGACGGGCTGAAGGAATGACAGAGCGAAACATTTCGGGAGTGTTGAGACAAGTGGCAATGTAGAATGGCCGTTCGAAGAAACATGCGGTCACTTACTTGGTGCCTTAAACCACCAAAAAGCGCACTCATGAACACCCACCAACCTAAGCTACAACTCCTTCTCTTCTCCTAACTAATCTATGAGTACCTTTAGCAGGTTGAGATTACAGGGTGACGACTCTCCCCAGCATCACGTCAGATGGTTCTATGCAGGGCCGTCAGCCCTCCTGTCCATGAGCCCTACTACAATAGGCCCAACACCAACTTGGCAGCCCCTCACTCGAGAGGAGTCCGATGCATGCGAAGAAGCATGGCAGGAACTTAATCCTGAGGCCAGGCATAATCTATCCGAATCTAGTCCTAGCGCCGAGGATGACCAAGATGAGTTCAAAGTGGGCATACCTGTCTCCAATGACAAGCTGTTCGAAGTGGACGTGAGGTCAATGCAGGTACGCCCTCAAGATACTTCTGAGAATAATAGTCCAAACCTAACACACCTTTAAGCTTCGTCCAGTCTTCTGGAAGACTACCGTCAAGATCCCAGTGATGCGCGGCCAGTGGATGCACGATGAGGTAATGACTTCTCAAGCTATGGAACCTTGCGATATCTGATTCAGCCTCGCAGACAAGGCCAGTGGAACAGCCTCTCGCTGAACTACTTGAGCGAGCATACCAGTAAGGGCCTTTGCAGATCCTCCCCGCTCCGTCACATCTGAATTCCGCACCTCGTTCCTTAGGCGAGTGAAACCATGGAAAGTACGGAAACCCTCCGAAGTCAAGCTGCCTGCAGCATATCCTAACTTTATCTCGCTAGACATCGTACTCGCTTGAGCTTCAGACAGCCCTTGAAATTGGAGAAGGAGGCCTGGACAAGCTCAAAACACCACTAGTATTGCTTCATGTTCAGCCAACTCCTACATCAAAGGCAGACGTAAACGTCATATTTGAGGACGAGGCCGTCGCGAGAGTCATCACGTTTGTCTCTTGTTTCCCCTTCATGGATCATTCAGAGTATGTGTAGCTAATCGGCCGTTCTTGGTAGTGGCGCGATTCGCAGACCTTTCTCATCTATCCTCACCTCGTTCACGAGTAGGAGTAGACCGCAGACTCCGACTGTTGCCCAGCTGGGAGGCATGGTCTACTACAGAGGAAGCGATGAAGCTGCTTTGCGTAGCAGACCAAGCCGCAGCCAAAGCCCAATGATCCGAAGTCGTTCTCCTTCACTCCCGCGGCCATTGGCATCCGCAGCTGGTGTAGTAAGTGGTGGTAGAACAGAGATGAAGGATAAAGGATCGAGGGAATCATCAAGGGACACCAAACGTGTGCGGTTGACCAGCTTAGCCGAAGCTTCCACTTCATCCGCGCCAGGAGTCCACAACCTTGCCTCTCCCCCTTCGAAGACTGAGGGTCTCTCCCACCACTCTAGGGAGACGGAAATTGACGCTGTGGCCGAGGCATCTGCTCCTGCCCTCATTGCCCCTGTCTCGGGTGATACAGCAGCAGGTTCTACAACTACTCCCGGAGGCCAAATACCCGTACAAGGAAAAAAGCTGGATGGACGCTCTATGGGTGAAGTTACAGACCTCATCCTTGTCGTGCATGGCATTGGCCAAGGGGTGAGTCAGATTACAGCATTATATAACATTGTTCGGCTCATATCACACTTCTCTGCGGTGGATCTAGCTCACTGCGACATACGAAGCATTTGATTTCGTCTACGTCACAAACATGTTCCGGCAGGTAGCAAGGTCAGTTGAAGAGACTTATTCGGCATCCTTGTGAGCTGAGCAGAGTGCCTGTTCTTGCTTCAGCGCCCAATCACAGTCCCCCGCGCTTGCGTCGATTATGCGAGACAAGCGTGTTCAGTTCCTACCTGTGCAATGGCGAGCTTCATTGGAACTTGATATGGGCGATGAGCTCTTGAAGCAGAGAGAGGGTTTAGACAATCATTTCACACTCGACGGTGAGCCTGCTTATAAGATTCGTGTACATGTTGCTGAGAGTTTTGACAGACATGACGTGACCTTGACCGTTTCAGATATCACGGTAGGCAATACTATCCCCTTCGTGCGGGATCTAACGAATAAAGTGCTTCTTGACATACCGCTGTTCATGAGGTAGGGGTACCAGATATTGCACTTGACTGCTCGACACTGAAATGTGTTGGGGGACACTCAGTCACCACAGGCAGAGGATGATAGAATCTGTGTGCACCATCGCGTCAGTCATGCAGATAGCGCTCCCGGTAGCCTTCTTTCGGCCTAACACCCTCTCAACCTAGGAATCGAACTTATCGTTTGTGGTGTGCACGAAACCCGGAGTTCGAGAAGCGTGGCAAAGTGGTAAGTCCATTTCCCGCTTCCTGAGCCCCGTTTCCCGCTTCTGACCTGATGCATCTGCGTCGACGCTTGTCAGCATATCGTGGCTCACTCCTTGGGATCGGCCCTCGTTGCCGATATTCTATCAAACCAGCCAACCATTCAGCCCCTTCTGTCAGAGATTCCCCAGGAGATGAAGGATAGCCCTTCGCATTTCCTATTCAACACGAGGCAAGCCCGACCGTTTTGTGTTTTTGTGCTTCTTTTCGAGTTTGACCGTCAAGCCCTTTAGCAATTTGTTCCTCGTTGGGAGTCCGCTCGGGATGTTCGTCCATCTGAATCAAGCCCAGATCATAGCTCGCAAGGTACTATTCTACCGAAGTTCCTCACCAGTAATGCTGGCCGTACTGACATGGAGACTACCGGCCTTAAGGGTAGGGAGCGCACGCGGAACTCTCCCTCAGATGAAGCTGTGAGGGGCATAAAGCCGATTTCTGTCAAAGATAGAAATTGAGGTTTTCACTTTGTCCCTTAGCTCGATCGGGTCGGGATCTTCGGCTGCATGGCTGTTGACTCCCTTTACAATATCTTCAACACTGCCGATCCTGTCGCGTGAGTATTCACTTGAATTATCTCAAATATCTATCAACCCAGCTTTCATGCGCTTGTCACCTATAGGTATCTCCTCAATCCTTGTGTTGATGCCCCGTGAGCCGTCTCTCCACGAAACCAATCTTTAACGGATAGTCTGCTCATTCTTCTTTCTTCGTTACAGTCGAGCCAAAGTCCTTCCAGCCACTGCCATCCCTAACGTAAGCGAAGGGTACCTAAGCACTTTCTCTAGCTGGATGTCCAAAATGGTCAACACTATGAGCATTCCCGTCGTGCCCTCCACAAATACGAAGAAATGGTTTGGTGGCACCTCCGGTGCAGCGTCGCCGAATACTTTTGGTATCAACCCAACATTATCGAGCACCAGGAAGAGTGGCGATGCGGATGACGGAGTGGTGGAAATGGAGCTGGCGTCAGAAGGCATACAAGACGTGCGAATGAGTAAAGCTGAGCGAAGGTAAAGAACGTAGGTGAATGCACTGCCTGAGTTTGATCTGATGCGGCTGGTGTCTGGTTGTTTCAGGTTCTTGGCGCTGAATCCACATGGAACTGTCGACTATTACCTTCCTAGTGGTATCGGTAGCTTTGGCGAGTATGTGGATATGATAACGGTGCGTTCTTTTTGAATCGCCCGTACAATACCCACGCCCTTCTTCAAACTGAATGCTCATTCTGGTATTTTCAGGCACATTCGTCATATTGGTCGCAAGAGAGCTTGGCCGCGTTCGTGATGGCGGAGATTTTCGCGACGAGCGCAGACTACTTGCGAACCGGGGCTCTTGTGCATGATGTCCAAGTAACCGGAGATTGATATTATGCCGCAGAGACTTGTGTTGAATAGACTAGATTAACTGCATGACATGAGTACACCTTGACATTGACTGCTTTTAGGCACGAGGAAGAGCAGCACGTACTAACTGCCCAAAGGCGTAGGCTATGAGGCATTGACGCGTCTGTGCAACCCCGGGTGCTCTTTGGCGGCCCATTCCGACATTTCCTTGGTCACCCAAGCGTTCTTGATGGTTCCCGACTCCCACATCTCTACCGTCTTGCGACCCTCACGCAGCAGATATTCGATAGTCATCACGTCACGCTTAGAGACCCCTCCCCCTTTCGAGGGATGTCGGAATTGATACTGGAGATAGAGGTGGAATTTGTTCTGTGCGTCGGGTGGTTTCGCTCGTATGGATCGGAGACACCTGTGGATAGGACGAGTGTACAGGTACCTCAGCTAGGCCCTGGAGAGGCAGATTCACAACAAGATGCACCTTCGATATAGCTTGAGGACGTCGCTCTGCAGCCCTGATAGTTTGGTCATGGTGTTGGGAGAAAAGCAGGGCCGGAATTCAGGTACCCGTGCACATCATGGCGTCTACCAAGCTTGATACCTCACCCTGCCCAGGAGGCGTACGTATTTCAGGGTTTTTATGTACTCATAGTGAGCCAGGATATTGCACTTTCAGAGTCTCGCAAAAGCTGTTGTGAGGTGGTAGTGATTTCCTAAAGATTTAAAGGCCATAACTTGACCATTTTGATTGCGATTATCCAGTCTTCAATGGTATAATGGTAGAACTCACGCCTGTCAAGCAAGGAATGCATTCCTTTGATTGAATGGTTCGCGTGCGACCTGGGTTCGATTCCCAGTTGGAGAGCTTTTGGCAAAGAGGGGGGGGGGTATGTATCTTGTGGTTGAAATCGGCTACTTTGTTTTCTTCCGACTAAGTTCGGAAGTAGATGGTCAAACACCCGCCTACTTAGGCATGTGCAAAGGTCTGCAGAAGCAGCCCAGGGGGGGTTGGGAGGTGATCGTAAATTTAAGCAATGCAGGTAAACACCCGCAGAGGGAGGGGTCCTTTTTTGCTTGCTTCGGTCGAGGAGGTGTACGGGTGTGAGGCTATGGTGCCTTTATTGGGTCATGAAACACTTGCTTGAGCTTACGAGCAACTAGAGTGCTGGTATCGGAGCGGTACGGGTGTAGGAATGGGCTTTGAATCCGCAAACAGTCCATTGCATTATTGTATTTAGCTTGATAGTTTCAACATGATTCAACGTAGGGAGGATCAGTGGCCAACGGCACTGATGACGGTCATACGCCTATTCAGCCAACGCTCTTTCCGTGCGTGCTCCAAAGGGCCTTCCCGTCCTCGGTCACACAAGATAGGTACGGGCTCTCTTGGCTTCCTGAGCCCCATCGGAGGTATTTGGCAGGTGGCTTCCACCCGCTAGTACCCGAGCCCCAAAGCGGGCGGCCCTTTTCCTTGCCACTGTAGACAACCTGAAGCGATGACGAGATTAAGTTTACTAGGCAATCGATTGGATCAACGTAGCTCACAAGATGACCGTCCGCCTGAAAGATGATGTGGCTCCTCAAGTCATTGTCTGCCCCAGTCGGTACCTCGTGCGACTTCCATACGACCCTCCATACCTGCTCGTCCAACGGCCACGTCGGCGGCACAATCCTCGGCAGAGTTGCCCCCGAGACCGTCTGCAACACGACGAACTGTCCAAGGGGGTTCATCGTGCTTAACAGCGTATTCCGTCTATCTACAGATGTTTGACAGACAAACAGCCCATCTCCCTCCGTCATGGTCCACTGGTACCCGACTTGATAACCCATCGGCGCCCAGAAGATGGATCCCGTAACGATAGATGCAAGCATGAGGTTAGGTTGCATGTCCGAGAACATCATGATCATCTCGTCGTTCTTCAGGAATGTTCCGCCTAGGTGGGGTGCAGTGCCGACGGTGGAAGGTATGCTGGGCGTCAGGTCATATATGACCTGGCCCTGATCAATGATGAAGAGCTTGCCAGAACCTTTCTCAAAGATGAGCAACGCCGACGTGGTCTCGCCTATCCTGCCCGCACTGCCCGAGGTCCAAAGGACGCTGAAATCCCACACGCTCTTCTTCACACGAACGCCTCCATCCCAATCGAACGCCAGTTCGACGTCGGTGAGCGATAGCGACTGGCCCATGGGCAGACACAGCTGACCGGGACAGAAGACGCGGTAGCTCGATTTCCCGGGGTTGATATCAATCAGACGTCCGATCGGGCCGCTTACGAACTCCTCTTGTAAGCTCGAACTCCTGGGGCCTTGGCCCTCACGCACGTTTGAGCACACGAATGCTCCTGGACCGATGTTGAGCGAACGCGGGTCCCGAGACATCTTGGACATGTCACCCGATATGACGACCGCGGAGGCCACACTGTTCTCCATACAGATCCAGTCTTCCACGTCAGAGACGGGGAAGCCGTACCCAAGTGCGGCGTCTGGACCCCGGCTGGTGATGCGATTATACATCACGGTCGCACCGCGATTGTAATTGCGAGGTCCGTCTTTGGAAGGCGTGAACCAGACGGAGCCACCTTGACCGATGCCGATCCTCAGATAGGATCCTTCGATACGAATAGTGTTGTGAATGACACGCGTATTGACGTAGTTTCCGTCGTCTTGTGGATACAGTGGTACTTCAGCATTTTATACTCGCTTCTCTGGTTGGATGTCGGGCCAATCATTAACTGTGTGACTTACGGGGGCTGTAGTCTACCATGTTGATCGCTCCCAGTCCGACTCGATTACGCGTTACTATGGTATTGGACGTGACCAACGTCCCCGGTGCACTAAAGATGACTAGGATGAAATGATATATTGAACTTGTGAGTTTTCCGACATGTCAAATCGTGAATATAAAGAACGACAGGCCACATACCGACACCGCCATCCGTCGCGTCCAAGATATAGTTCCCTGCAATAAGACCGTTTTGACCAGCATAGCTAATTCCATCTGCCCATTGCATAAGATCACTTTCAGGGTAGCCGGCAGGTCCTGCAAAAGACGATTCCAATCAGCACCATCTGCGTGAAAATCCTGCTTCAGGCTACTCGATCATACCGATAAAGTTATTTGTGACCCGCACGCCCTCACATCCTTGAAACACTTGGAGACAAGACCATTGCCTGGGATGGCGCAGGAAACAGTGATCGATATGCTGATTGTATCCCTTGTCGTGGCCGAGCTGCACCATGCACTCGTTGTCTTTATTGTAGCCTGGGGATTCAATTGGAAAATTAAGATATAATTCAGTCATGACGGAACCTATGAGAGGAGGAATCCCGTATGTAGATATCGAAAATCGTTCCCTCACCATACTTCTCCCTCCCACCATCAATGCCAATATTTCTGATTCGAACCCCAGGCATGTCGGTAGCACGGAGGATCTGCCCATTGCAACCTTGCTCTGCATCGAGCCAAGCCACCTCATTCTCCCCTGTAGGATAGCCAAACGTCGCCAACTCTTGGTGCGGCTGGAGTCGTATGGTGCTGCTCACTGACCAACGCGAACTCGGCAGGAGGTAAAGCGTCGCATGTGGACCGAGCGTATCGAGTGCCTCTTGGATTACGTTGGAAGTGTAAGACGAAGGGTCCATGAGCGTCGTGTGCTTTCTGGTCAATGGAAATGGGAAGAGTTCTGGAGTCGGGTAGGTTCCTGGTGGATAAAGGACACCTGCAGTGCCATGATGTTGTGCGTCAGCACCGTCATCCGCATTGGAAGACGTGGATGACCCTGCGGGCGGCGCTGTCATCATTCCTGCAGGACGCGTTCCAGAGTTGATTGAAGGCGGCATCGCCAGACTTTGGCCTTGGCTCTGGAAGATAGGATAGCCGCCTTGGACGTGTTGTGTTTCTGGGGTGTAGCCACTGGTGTGCGGCTGAGACTGGGAATACTGTGTGGGTGAGGTGCTGCGATAGTCTTTGCCCATCGGACCATCGGACCCTGGACGACGAGGTAAGAGGGGTGGCGGAGCATGGGATGGGTCGGACGAGAGATGGTATTGGGGAGGAGGTCCTTGAGGAGATTCCTGATTCGGATTCGGGGGCGCGTGGGCGTTGCCGTAGGTGTAATGGTTGGATGGCCCTTGCTGCTGGGCGGACGAGGGCGTTCCAGGCTGAGAGTGACGTTGCTGCTGTGTTGGCATCTGACTTGTGGATGTATAGGCCCATGGACCTGGAAGCCTCTTGTCTCCACCGGTACCGCCGAACCGCGTTTTGATCTTGTTCGCAAATGCGTTGGCGAGGTTGTCCACTTGATCCATGGACAAAGTGATGTATATATATACGAGATTAATTCAGCGCAAGTTGATCGATTCAAGAAATACTGCTTTCAATAGATAAGCAAAGTGAAAGTGTCCTATGATATCAAGGAGTGCTCGTGCTTACCCTCCTACCCTGTTTATTTGGGTGGGTGGGGGTGGCTTGGGAGAGCGGAGCGGGCTTTGCGTTCCGCATGTCCGATATCGACGGCGTTCTAGACCTGGATGTTTTCATTCAGCTCCGACTTAACGTGCTCCACTCCGAGTTGCAATCCCACACTTCTGAGAAGGCCACCTGTATCTGAACACAAATAAACCAAACCCAATCAACAAAGGAGGAAGGCTCATGTCGTAGTAAGAGAACATTTAAGAACATGGGTGATTTAAGCACCCTTTGCACAGGTCAAGGCGTGAAACAGTATGAACTGTTTGGGGACGATAAAGGACCTTTCATCCTCTCTATATCACAGACGGCTGGTAGAACTGGTATCTCATTGCCCCTCAGGCACCGGTACATAGCCAATGTTCAACATCAACACCGGTGTCCATCGAGACGAGCAATCAATGGCCTCAAAATGAGCGCGAAGCCAAGTGATCAAGGGTTGGCGGATTTAGCTCAGGATCATGAGCATGGAATCGTGATTGTGTCTGTGACATTCGGCCAACGCCGCTGAGCCTCTCAAGCGCCCGGGGGTGGTAGATAGTTATAAGCTGTTGCAGCGTTGAAGAGCTTCAAGCGTTAGCGAAGCGGACATGGCTAGGTTGCAAGGGGAATCGTTGGAGCTCTTGCTGGCACAATGCATGCACGTTGTGCCAAAATAGTTTTTGTTTGGAAAAGAAGCGGGGGAGTAGGGGTTAAGTTATGCAAAAAAGGGTTGGATGTTTTTGTGTCCACGAGGATCAGTGCATCCAAGAAAGGGTTGGTCAGTGGCCCTGAACGGGCGGTAGAGTTACTGCAAAAGATAGCATACGAGAGGACCAAAGTCGAGGCGACATCTAGAGGGAAGAGCATGTTTTTCCAAGGACCATTCTCATGTCCTTAGTTCATGCGCGGAGGACTTTGACCCAGGCGATGCCGGGGTGGGCGAGACATTTTTGCATGTACTGGTATGAGCGATACTTGGTGTGCGTACACACTATCAAATTCCGCCCCGCAACACAAAAGCTATCTTGGCAATTTGACAAAGAGATTTTCCCGGAGGATCACCGCGTTTTGATCGGCGGAAACTGCCTAAGCCAAGAGCCAAGACTGGCAACCTCCCGGTAGCACGGAGGTGGGATCCGGACCAAGCCCGAACGTATCAATTAGCCAAGGTGGAACTGTTTCCGTATATATGCTGAGGTGATCAGCTTGCAGTTCCTTTCGAATCAAAAGAAACTGTCGTAGAGTGATGGCAAAATAAAACGCTGAACTTCCGAGTCTCGACCCCCTCAAAAAAGTTGCCAAGTCCTGTTGCCAAGCGCATAGCCTTGAACTGACCAGAGCCCATGTCGCCTTTGAACCAAATGAGTTTATAACGCCGATCGGCGACGCAAAAGTTCATATAGCGTGAAGGGGGA